CGCCCCCGCCGCACCGGGAGAGGCGGGCAGGCCCGGCCCCGCCGCCCACCCACGTGGCGCCACGGCGGTCGCCGGCCCCGCGCTTACGCCGCTCCACCGGGGCTCCCCGGGCTTCCCTCCCACTCCCCCCAACCCACCCACCCCGCGCCCGGCCGAGGAGCGAGGCGCTCCCCCGCCGTTCCCCGCCGCTGCGCACCGTCCCCGTCCGCCATGGCCCCGCCGCGTGCTGCCGCCGCCGCCGCGCAGAGACCGGAAAGACCGCCCCTTTCCCGACAAGCCCCGCGGCAGCACGTGACCGCCGCCCCCCCCTCCCGCGCGGGCGGAAGTGGCGCCGTTAGGACCGGGACTTTCACCGGGAGAGACGAGCCGGGCCTGGGGCTCCCGCTGGCTGGGGGAAAGGGATCGGCCGGTGTCACCCACCGCACCTCTACCCGAAATCCAGAGAGAAGCAGCGGGCAGGCTCCGGTCCGTCCCGCCCCGGCATCGCCGTGGCCCGGGGAAGCCCACCGGAGAAGGGCCCTGCCTTACCCCCGGGACCACGGGACAGGGAACCGGCCCCGGGACACCCCCCCGCACCGACCCCGGTCCCGCAGGCAGCCCGGGCTGCGCAGCAGAGCCTCCTTGCTCGGGTTGGCTCATGCTAATTGCAATTAGTGCAGCAAGGGTCGCTCTCAGACCTGTGGACACGGGCCAGAGTCTCGCTAATTGCAATTAGTGCAGCAAGGGTCGCGCTCAGACCTGGGGATCCCATGAAGGGTCTCCACACCGACCCAAAAATTATCTACGGGCAGTTTTTAAGGATTCTGATTTCATACAATCCAGGCATCTTAGAGACATCCCTTCCCTGGGGATGAACTCTGCACAGCCAGCCCTCCAACCCCTACAAAATTAGAGCCACATGTTTTCTATTTTTTATAACCACCACACAATAGTCCAACAGTAACTTCCCCTCTTTTAATTAAAAAGGAAAGGCTCAGAAGTATTTCAAGGCATGGATCTTTATTTTTCCTTCACGCATGAAAAACTTGTGTGAGAACAAACTCCTCTTAAAAGATTCCAGAAAGGAATGTTGGCATTCCAGCTGGGAAAACTCCCAAGTCCCCAGTTGTTTCAGTGGGGAAGCTGAAAAACATTGGAAAAAAACCCCCTGCTGTCTCTAGAGCCAAGCTGTTACAATCAGAAGGACACAAACACCTCTCTTACACCAGAATTACCTCTTGCCTCCGGCTTCTCTCCAGGGCTGCAAACGGGATCTCTCTCTCCCAAAGCCTCAGCCTTCTCCGGGGTCCCTGCAGGGTCTTTGCTGCCAGCGTTTCTTTCTTCTCCCATCAGCTGGCTCTATTGCAACGTCTCTTCGTTTATACCACAGCCACAATTAGGGGGGGACCACCAGGGCCTCTCTGGCTTCCGCAATAAGGCATTTCCTTCTGGAGAGTCCATCCCAACCCTGCAGAGATGTGGCTCGGCCTGTGGGCAACAGCTGGATGCACCCAGGGCAGCGGGTTCATTTCCCCTCTGCTCTGAAGACTGGCCTTCTCCACCTCGCTCCTGGGAACGGGCCCAACAAGCCCAAGTGCCCAGCAGCAGAGAGGAACAGCAGCTGAGGAGAACCGAGCAAACAGTCCATGCCAAGAACTCATCCTTCTCCACCAGTTTCCTCCTCGTTCCCCTGACTGTAGGGGATCTGCCACCTCTCACTCTCAGTCCTCCAGGTTTCCAGCTCTTCTACACAAACGCAGTCAGGCCACCCCCGCTGGTCCCCAGGCGACCCCTTGAGAGCCAGCGACCAGCTCCTTTTCTCTGCCCCAAGAGCCAAAGGCCCGGCCTCGCCTTGGCTGCAGTGGCTTTTGTCGGCAGGAGGGAAATCAGCGTCTCGTGTTCGTGCCCTTGTTTATTTAAAGGCAACTCCATCGCAGGTGCTTCCCGGGTGCCCAACGCCGGCTCCCCACGGCACACCCGGGCTCTGCCTCCGACGGGGCTCTGGGGCCGCTCCAGCACCGCCGCCCCCGCTGCCAACGGCGGGCCCTTCCCCCCCGGCGGAGGCGCAGAAGAGGGACGCGGCCGCTCGCCCGCCCCGGGCACGGAAGGCGCAGCGACGACCGGCACCGGAGGCCGCCCCGCACCCCCCCGGGCCCCGTCCCGCCGCCGCCGCTCACAGCCCCTGCCCGGCGGGGCTCAGCATCTCCTGCAGCACCAGGTGCAGCAGGTGGTTCTGCTCGGCGCTCAGCAGCGGCCAC